GGACATGTTGGTAAATGCACATAACAAGAAGCCAAACTCTGGAGTTTGTATCTTAGGAATAATTGGCCTTTCTGCTTTGTATACTGAAAACTTGTTTGAAACGCTGCCTTTTCATTCTGCTGCCTAGGTGACCCGGCTCCTTTTGCTGCATCCCTTAGTTTCCTGAATACCTTAACTGCTAAAGAAAATATGTGTGAAGTACTAAAATTACAGCTAGGTTCTCACAGCAATCAATTGTAATGGTTGTAATGTCATTTTACTTGAGAAATAATTTCAAGTCTGCCATCTCCTTGAACATGGAAAACACATACATGTGCTTCAAAATAATGGAGTGTTAGTAAAATACGGTAGAAAATCCCAGAAAGCTTCAATGTCCCTTCAGTTGGGTAGCTTCACATAACAATTCTGACTTTCTAAGCTAAGATGGGCAGAGATGGCATTATGATAACTTTTACACACACACACACAAACTGACAATAAATATATAATGCTTGAGATACACAGTTTGCTATTTTTCTAAGAAAAGATGATCCTGAGCACAACGACCTGTGATTATATGTTACTAAGCTGCCACCTGCTGGGCTTTCTGCCTAGCACATCTTATTATCTGCTATAGATTTCTCTCTGGTCAATGAAAGCCTTGAAGATTGCCCTCCCTCAAGCTCTTTGTTAACATTGCCCCGACTCCTGGCCCTCTCTTTCCAGCCATGTATACCTCTGCAGACCAGTTCCATCGGATGCGTGCTCCCGTAGACCAGTTCAAAGGTGTTTCAACGGATTACGGTCTTACCAAAGCCGCTCACACCATTTAAGGCTTTGACCAACTGAAGACAAGTCAGTTTGAGACAAGAAGCAGCTCAGCGAGGCTTGCACCTTGCAGAGTGCCAGCTGTCTCCAAAGGGCAGGCTCGTTAGAAAGCTGCAGGTGTACGCCTTGGAAGCAAACCAGAAGTAATGAGTCCTGAGCGACTTGTCTACCCTGTGACTGACAGCACCTTCCTGCAGCCCCTGCTGAATGTGTGGCAGGATTTGGCACCAAGAACTCAAAAACAAAACAACAACAACAACAACAAAATAAAAACCTATTTCTCCTTCTTTCTTTGCAGAGAGCAGATCACCCTGTGGCCAGAATCAAAAGAATTAAGAACTATTGGATTTTTTTTTTTTTTTTTGGTTTTTACGAGACAGGGTTTCTCTGTATTGTTTTGGAGGCTGTCGGTCCAGCCCAGCCTCGAACTCACAGAGATCCGCCTGCCTCTGCCTCCCGAGTGCTGGGATTAAAGGCGTGCACCACCACCGCCCGGCTGGATATTTCTTGATGAAGCCACTTTTACAAGGAAACTAGACAATGAGTTAGTCCATTGGGTGAACCATGTTTAATATGTATCACTGGTAAAAGCCCCACCTGATCTTGCCTGTCCTATAACCTCACACGAATGATGTTGATAACCCAAGCAGTAACCCCAAAGCATCACAAAACTTTGAGTTGCCTCCTGAATAATAAAAAAAAAAATGGAAAAGAGAGCTGGCATTTATCAAGTGCCCACCACTTACTAGGTATTTCCATGAGTACTATCACGCCTTATCACACTCCAGCCTGGACAAGTAGACATAATCACTTTCACCACTGGCACTGGTTGGGGAGGAGAGTGGTACCGACAGCTCGGGTTTATTGGCTGCATGCTGCTCGCCGGCTGTTGCCTTTATTACTTTAGAGGGACCTCGGCAGCTAAACCTCAAACCACATTAGGAAGCGGATGCTATCATTACTCTCTTTTTATTACAGGTGATCCTGAGACATTACATAACCTGTTCAGGATCAGTCACTAAAACCAGTGAGAAGTACGGCCTAGGTTAGAACACAGGCAGATGTGTGTGTGTGTGTGTGTGTGTGTGTGTGTGTGTGTGTGTGTGTTATACTAAATACTCAACACTCTTATTTTGGCTCCTAAAATTGGTAACAGTGTGTTGTTGCCAGGCATTCTGCGAGAATTACTCATTTGAAATTCACACACTTGTGTCGTGCTGTCCCCATTTCACGTTGATGAAAGAACATGAGGTTTGCAGAATAACAATGGCTGTGATAGCAGGCACTTACCTGGCCCTTAAGTGTGCCCAGATGTCCCCCAGCCAAACAGTTCTACACACGGTGCTCACTACTGAGAACAGAATCCATTCATTCCTGTATCCCAGCAAGGAGGCCCAAAGGCATTGCCTGGGCCTGAACTGAGGTTGCAAGGCTATCAGGAGGCAGAGCAAGCTCTCTGGATGCAAAGTACCAGGATGTTAACCACTCACTAAACTATGGCACAGTGTGAGTGAGCCAGCTCATGGCTGAAGATGTTCCAACTTGCCTCATACCAAGTAAAATAATTACGCACATTTGGAAGAGTAAAGGAAACCTTGGCTGCACAGAAGGATTTGTATAGATCAGTGATGGTAAAAAAATAAAAAAGAAAGAAAGAAGGAAAAAAGAAAGAAAGAAAAAGTTCTTCTCTTTATTTGGTTCAAAAGTATTGAGCACCAATTATGTCCCAGGTGCCACAATTACGAACATAAAACCCATTCCTTGTCTATGAGGAACTGGAGATGTATACATAAATAATTAAACTATTTTTAAAAGTAGTTATTAAGTTTTGCTTCCTAAATCAAAGCCAAATTTATTAAAAAAAAACCCACCCTATGTTATCTGGTCACACAGTCCCAAATAAGTTCATACATAAGATAAAGCTAGCAAAAGAATAAGGCAGACTATTACTTCATAAGCAGATAGAGGAAGATGCGTAAGATATTACTATAATGCCTGCAATCTTATTTAAAATTCAATAATGATTATGTGTGAATTAGATCTGATATGTACTCACTGTCTCAGGAAACATTTACAATATGTATATTCCTCGGATTACAGAATTACCTGAGAGTTATTCCTGCCTGGAAGCCTACTGAGTTCTAACTCCTCAGACCCTCTCAGGGCAGCCAATAGGAAATGCAGCTGTAATAATTATCAGAGTTTGTGGTCTCAACTTACATAACCCTGTGCAATTGAGTTTCAAGGGAAAGAAACTGCTCTAACTTGGTTCGTGTGACTAGAACATCCAATAAACAGATGGAACTTATGCAAAGCCAAATTCGGAAATTCAAGTGCTATATTCAATCCTCCCTTTTCTCCTTCCTCTTCCTCTTCTTGATTTTTATCTATCAGCTCTTACCATCCATCTCTACATAACTTCACCTGTGGGTAAACTCTCTATAAAACAGATTTCACATTCACACACATCAGATTAGCAACTCCATGGAAGGGCAGAATTGTCCCAATATATTCCCAAACAAATTCTTCCATTTTGAAACCACTCTTCCATTTAGCTGGGTTTTCTGTTGATCCAAGGATTCATCCGGGCTGCCAGCTTGCTTTTCTTTCCCCCGGGGCACCCTTCTAGGTAAGAAAGTGGATGGCCTATGGGGCAGCTAATCTTCATCATTGTGAGTCTAGACATTCTGACTGCGCTGAGTGGGTCTAGAATCCAAAACTGTGCCTGGGGCTAAGGAAGTATGAAGCACCTGGAGTAGGACGTCATGGAGGACGCATGGTCTCCAGGGAAGCGGCCATACTGCTCCCAGACAGACAAGAAGCTGGGGAGTCCTAATGGCGGGAATCCCTACAGCTGGCTCATCTGTTTCCCTGCAAGTTTTCGCTGTAAGATGTCGCCGTCTCTGCTCTGATGCTCTCAGATTACTGCACATGAAAAAAACAACTAGCAGGCCAGACACTGGGGCCCGTGAGACAGTGAGCCAAGGGGATGCTGGCCAGAGACTCCCTGACAGAGTCAGGTGAAGGAAGAGTGCTGTGTGCAGGTTTTTTCACGCTGTCCCCTGTTCTTGGATTGGGATGTCTTAGCCCAGCTGGCACTTTTTCCTGGCTGTAACAGCATTTATTGTCAGGTTGTCACAATCTCCCTCACTACCTAGTGTCTTACTGGGGGGTCCTTAGCCATTCACTTCCATTTACTACCAGGCCCCGGTTAATTTTGAGGTTTTTGACGCCCCGATTTTATTTCTGGTGAATTAAGCAACCCCTTATAGGAATGTAAGTGCTAAACATGGCTATTTGCATCACTGTGAATGAGTGTTCAAGGGTCTTTAATAAAGCAACAACAACAAAAATATTTGAAGGAGAACAGTGAAAGCATAACAGGAAAAGGGCACAGCATGATAACACAGTCTCAGGCAAAGCCTCCAGGGTAGGTGCCGGAGGCTCACTCCTACTGTGTTCTTAGTGACCCAAACCCTTAAGAGATAAAGCTCATTTGATGGGCTTTATGCTTGTGATGGAGCAACATCACTTTAGTCTGCCTAACACCCGGTTCTTCTCTCACACTTTCACAGATGTGTTTCTTACCTTTGCACTCCTTTAGGATCCCGATAGGATCCCCTTTACCTACAACACCTGGCTCTGTGTGTTCACTGACAAAAGGGAGCAAATCCATGAATGACCATGTTTTCGGCATCCTACATCCAGGATGGAATGCCTGAGAAGACCTTAGTGAGCTAAAAGACTTTTTTGATTTTTGTCATTTTCATAAAAACTGTGATTTTTACTGTAAATTTTTATGTATCCTTTCTTGGTGTTCCACTCCCCGCCCCCTCCCCCAGCATGCACTCAAGAGGGTACACCAGGGGTCCTCAGCTGACACCTCCCCCAGCTTTTCTGTGACCAGTGGGGCCAGCCTCCTTGACCTAATTAGATTTCTTCACCTCCACATGGCTAGTAAATACTATAATTAATTTATAAAGGACTCTGAAACGCCAGCTGCCAGATAAATTCCACCAGTGGATTCCTACGGAACGAGGAAGAGCGGTTCCGCTGAGGAGTTATGAATTGTAGTATGCTGCGTGTGTGTATGTGTGTGTGTGTGTGTGTGTGTGTGTGTGTGTGTGTGTGCATTCCAGTATGGCTGACCTTCTGAAACGTCAATTATAAATTACACCAAACGCACAGGTTGATCATTTCTTGCAGCACGTTTATCTTAAATTGTCAGGAAAACTCAGTGTGACAAAATATGCTCGGAGATGGATCTTTGAAGTCTGTGAGGCGTTGAGTGTCAATGCAGATTCTATGCTTTCTAAGTACACTAATAAACCAGTGGCCGTTCTCAAGAGAATGCCAAAGACCGAGTTTCATGCGCTGGCAGCGGTTACCCGTTCAAGAACCAGGGTTGGTGAGACCTAAAAATGGCTCCCGAGACTCCTGGTGGCTTGGGACTGTATCGGGGTGCCCCGCCTTTTATTAGGGTGTGTAATGTAACTGAAGTAGTAGAATCACTTTGCCTATGGCGTCACATTGAATACAAGACTCTAGCAACGATGATAGCTGTTGTAAGCAGCTGCAACAGCAGCAGCAGAAGAATTGGGAGAAGCTCGCCTGTTGGCTTCGGAGCAATGAGCTCCATGCTTTCAGAGGGCCATATGATGCTCGTCCGAGGTCCAGCTCTAGGAGTTGCGAAGAGAACCCTGGCCAATATCTGCTGGAAAACAAACAAACAAACAACAACAACAACAAAAAGCAATGAACTCAATACTCAAGGACTGAGTTGTATAAAACCAATAACCAGAATAGCTCAAAAGAAGATTCTAAGCTTCAGTTGGGGTTGCAACTACAAATCCACACTGTTGTGTAATATTTTGATTGAGTTCTGACGATAAAGTTTGTTTTGAATCCAGAGGGCGGAGCTAGCCACTAACTGACCACAATTACGCATAGATTTTTGGAGGACTGACGATCAGTAGGTGGGGCTTAAAGAGGATCTCCACCCTTTTTGAGGGAAGGAACGGAAGAGGTAGGAAATCACTGGTGGCTGCTCCGCTGCTTCTCTGATCTTACCCCATTATCTGACTCCCAATTTTTTTTTTTTACTGATAAAGAATAATTAGATAAATGCATCACCTGGAGCCCAACATGGGGCAGGAAGCACGAGATCGCTGCTGGCCCCTGGCTCTACAGTAACGCCGCCGGCTTGATAGCGGCATGGTGAGACAGAAAAGCCGACTAAGCCTCTCCCAGCCTCCCCAGTCACGGAAGCTGTGGGAGTATAACTTTGGGGCTGCTAATTTTGTGTTAAGTAGCTATTCCGCACACATGAATGAATGAATGAAACGGGCTACCGTTATGATTTTTCCCAAATGGCACCACCCAGCAGTCGTCATGGCCCTGAATACCTGGCATAACCATCTGGGTCACAGGTGCACACAGAGACAAACCAGAACAACTGGAACCTTTAGAAATACAAAGTCATGGGAAGGATATTGCCCGGGGTGGGGGTTCTGAATGAAAGAGGAGTGAGGTCTGCTTTACAGAAGCACCTTACCCACCAATGCTGTGAGGACATCCAAAACATTTGGAGGTGACTACGGAGGAGATCTAACAATTTGATTATAGAAGTAATTAGAAGTTATGGACCCGCCGGGCGGTGGTGGCGCACGCCTTTAATCCCAGCACTCGGGAGGCAGAGGCAGGCGGATCTCTGTGAGTTCGAGGCTGGGCTGGACCGTAGCCTCCAAAACAATACAGAGAAACCCTGTCTCGAAAAACCAAAAAAAAAAAAAAAAAAAAAAAAAAAGAAGAAGTTATGGACCCACCTGAGGTGTAGCAACTTGCTGATTAAGTATTTGGGGCAAGGACATTGTGTTGCATGGCTATTCTATTTGTTGTTGGCGACAAGCGACCTGTTTTTTGTTTGTTTGTTTTTGTTTTTGCTGTTGTTGTTTTGGTCACAGAGATACCATTCCTGGTTAATTTCATAGCTCTCTCTGCAAGGCGAAGGTGGTGGCGCTGTTATTCACAGGACATACTCTCCGCAGTCTCTTTTAGTTAAACAGCATAGATACTTTGCCTCTTGGATTCTTTGATGGCCATCTGTTCAGTGCCTATTATCCCACAACATCCACTGTGCCGTCTGTGAGCCACTTTCCGACGGCATTCAAAACACTGTCACTGTATTTGTGGAAGAGGACCACAAACGCAAGCGTCACCCGGAAAAATACACAAACATGTAAGTGATTGTTGGCATGGGTTAGCATCTATAGAATGTGCAGCATCTACATTAACAAGGCAACCCATCTTCCATCCACATCTTCTTCCGACCCTTCTGGGCCTTAATCATGGCAGCTCTGGAATCTGAACCCTGCAATACCAAAAGGAAGCCCGCCTCTCCCCATAGTTACCAGCAGTAAAAACAGGTGTGTGGGGGGGTCCTAAGTAGGTGATGGTGCACTCTCTTATGGAGGTAAGCAATGCCCGTCATTTCAGCAAGACTTTTAACCACCCAGGAGAGCAGGGAGACACTGTGTCAATTAAAAGCAAACAAGATATGGCTGAAAGGGGGAGAATTCACACACAGCTTCACAACGTTGACTTCGGGTCCAAAGATCAGCAGTGTGTAGTTTCCCAGTATACTTTTCAATATGTCACTCTTTAATCAGTCAATCGGCATCACTTCAGTGGTCCAGACTTGTATGATCCCATTTAAAAAAAAATACTATTCTCGTCAGTGGAGGATTAATCAAGCCTCACTCCAGGGACTAGCATGGCCATGTACCCCTAGTTCACCTCACAGAATATAGCCCCGGAGCTCTTACGAAACATTTGTTGAACCCATACACAACAAGAAAGTATCCTGAGACCCTTGAAACCTGAGTGCCCCATCACTACCACCAGAGGGTAATGAAAGACACCAGGATTGCTATCACATAGGACCACACAGGACTAGGTTTAGAGTGGCCCAAAACACACAAGACTGTGATCTCTACAAGGTTAGTTTTCCAAAGCACAGCTGGGGCCACACCAAGCTAAGAGCCTGCTTGCTTGGGTCTAAGAACTGTGTTATAGCCTCTGAGCATCTTGTGAACTAAGGATGGAAGCAGTTGTCTAAACCTCTGAGCATCTTGTGATCTAAGGATGGAAGCAGTTGGTCTTAAGTAAATGTACTGCTGGCACACAGGAGCTCCTTTTAGTCCTTTTCCATACCTGAGCTATGCTCCTGCCCAGAATTCCATAAGACCAATCTTCACAACACACTTCTCCATAACCCCCTTTATTTTTATTTTTTTGTCTGTTTTGGTTTGGCTTTGGGGCAGGGATTAAAGCATATATTCTGATGTTGGTTCTTGGCAAGTAGAGAGAGCCCTATCAGAGTAGCTGCAGACAGATTTTTTTTAATATGTAACTTCAGAAACTCAAATCTGTCTAGCATACCTGAATAACCTCTTAGGGACAAAGATGTGCTTGTCTGCATGATTACTTATCCATCCATAAATATGGCTTCATGTACAAGAGTTAATTTGCATGAGTAATTCACTTTGAATGTTCACCATGATAGGTTAAGTGTACCCAGGAGATGGAACAAAATACTAATCAAAGGATTAGAATAAAAAATAATGGGTAGTTGGGTTTTTCTTTTCTTGCTTAACAGAAAGAAATTCACTCTCTACTCTAGGGATGTTCTTCCCTGAAAAGTCACCTGTGGTTTTTGAACTTACTTGTTGAGGTTATTGGCAGACATACTCTTAAATTGTGCTTATCCTACCCCAGACTCGCTGTGAAGAACTCTTCTGTTGTGAAATAATCTCTTTGTACACTGTGAGGATGTGTCATCCTGGTTGGTTTCATAAAACGCTAAATGGCAAATAGCTGGGCAGGGTTTTCAGGCATACACAGGACAGTAGGAAGATGAAACGGGGAGTTGTCAGCCATATGGAAAGGAAGCAGCATGAGCACAGAACAGAGTAAAGGTAGTAAGTCCATGAGACTAAAAGGTTATTTTCATTGTAAGAGCTGGTTAGTAACAAGCCTAACCTATCAGCTGAGCTCTTATAATTAATAAGTCGCTGTGTCATGATTTGGGAGCTGACAGGAGGGGCAGAAAAATCTGCCTCCACTTTCCTGCTGATTTGACTCTCCCAGAAACTTTACCAGCTAGAGTTACTCCTTTATTATAGTAACTGCATGTCATTTTACTAGCTCCAATCACTATCTCCTTCCAATTCTCAGTGGTACCAAGTAAAGGAGACTAATTCTGAACTTATTAAACTTACGTTAGTGGAACGGTATAGACGTTTCCATTTTGTGTCTGCATTTCTCAGTTCAATACTGTGTTTGTGGGTGACATTCACAATGTTCAGTGTGGCTTCAAAGTCACTCTTACTGTTGCATATTGTATTCCACTAAAGAATTATGTGATTATTTCTTTACCCTGGCTACCATTGATAAAAGTCGGGAAGCCTCCAACTGGGAGCATCATGAGTAATGAAGTTATGGACGCTATTATACACATCTTCAATAGGAACACTTGTAGGGCTTAGGGAATACCCTTAGGAGTTTTAGGGTCATAGTGTTTGCATTAGTTTAGATTTAGTAGTCTGACAAGTATTTTCCAGAGGGGGGCGGGAAATGCTACTTGACTTGCTCTGGGGTTACATGAAGATCACTGGATTGAAAATGCCCTATGACAATTTTATTGTAAGCTGAAAACACACTGAATATACCTGTCTGACTGAGTGCCATAGCTTAATGACACTGTACACTGTAGGGTACAAGTCCTTCACCCTCATGCTATCCCACTGTTACTACCCAGAATCTCAAGTATACCAAATATCATTAGAGTAGGAAAAGTTTACAGTTTAACCCGTGAAGTCTCCTAGGTATCATATTTTCACTATGATGAAAACAAAATAGTTTAAGTCAAGCCATGTGAAGGGACACATTGCCTACAGTCCATGAGGACTCTAGTCATCCTCCAACTCCTGGGATTGCCTGAGCTTTTCTTTGTTCACTTTGATGGATGGGTATTAGCGCCACATTATGGTTTTAATTTGTAATTTCCCGACTTGTCACGACCACCTCGACCAGCAAGGAAGACGCGACTCAGGAATCCTTCTCACAAGTGGTTTATTCAGGACCTTGATGAACAACGTGGAGGCAGCCACGGAAGAAACCCCTCCTGCTCCCTAAAATAGCCGAGGCCAGCCAACCCTGAGCAGCCACGTGTGCGCAAGCCATAGGCTCACCAGAATGCATAAGCAATCTGATGACGATGGCGTGACCCCGGCGGGATGGGAGCAGGCCAAATAAGGAGTTGTTTATTACCGAGTGCACTCACCGTCGGGATGGTGGAATGCGGAAGCCGGCGCCATCTTTGAGGCGCTGTGTGGCGCAGCTCTCCACACCGACTTGCAGCAACAGTGGATGGGGAAGGCTCACTGTCAATTCTCTTTCCTGTTGAACACAAGGAAAACTTGGATAAGAGGCACAAAGCCCTTCCTTATCTGTGGGTGGGCACCAAGAAGGAAATAAAAATGGGCAAATTGCAGCAGAGACCAAAACTTAATGGTATGGGTTTGTTGATGGTTGCTTCATTTTGTGTTGCCATTTTTCTCTCATAGCTGGATGGGCAGCTAGTAAATCTGTAGGAACAGCCCAACCGATAATAATTAATTTTAACCATTTTTTTTCTAGTCAAATGAACTGGGGAGAGATACATCTGTGCGCTACCAGTTTGTAAGGAAATACTACATTGTTTCGCAGCTCTACTCCCACCCAAAGAGCAAGGGTATGGGAGAAATTATATTTCTACATAACAGCGAGGAAAGGAAGTCTCTCTGTGCGGGCAGAGTGGTGGGGTGGAATCCCACACCTTTCTATTGTACCTTACCACCTCACCCTAGGTTAGGGCCCTAGTCAAAAGCTTTCACAAGCTGCCAAAACTTCAAGGGAAACCTCGTATTTAGCACAGAGAGGATCAGGAAAAGCAACGCTGGGAGACAGAGGATGTGAGAGGAATCTAAGAAAAAGGAAAAATTGGAGACGTGTGTCCTCCAAATCCAGTTTGAACCCACTCAAGTTCTGTGCTCACATCTCAACTGACTGTGTACAGAACAAATCACAGCAGGATGGAAATGATTCATGTTATGAGCTGCAATGAAAGCTACTGCTAAGGTACCAGAACAATCTAAGTATTTACATACAGGACAGACTCAAGACAGCATCACAGCAGGAGCTGAAGAGACAGGCTCAGTGGTTAAGAGCACTGGCTGCTCATCCAGAGGTCTCAAGTTTGATTCCCAGAACCCACGTGGTGGCTCACAACCGTCTGTAACTCCAGTTCCAGGGGATCCACACCTACTCCCGACCTGAGGGCACCCAGCGTGCGGGTGGTGGACAAACATTCATGAGGACAGCATTCATACACATAAAAAAATTTTTTTTAAGGCACAGGAAATAACTCAGAGGACGCGACTGATACAGAACCAGTGCTCACAGGAAGGACTGAGCCTGTGATGCCAACCCAAGGATTGCTTGCTAAAAGAAAATAAAAATTCCACATTATCCAGGATGAAAATCCGGGGGTGGGGGTGGGAACACAATGATTATACAATACAAAATAACTGGGAAGATGTGAACAACTATCAAAACAAAATATAACCAACGGTTTCCAACTGAGATGACCATGATACTGCAATTGTCAAAGGTGTTAGACATTAAAACCAAAGCGTAGTTTAATGATTCCCCCCCCCCCCCGTAGGTCTGAGCTATATGCTAGAAAAAAAATCTCTCTCGTGTAAATGGCAGAACTTCAATGCATTAAGAATGTTCACATGTGTGCTGGCCACAATGGCAAAACATGGGAGTTGGGGGTTGACTGTAAGAATGTTCAAATGGACCTGGTCGGGGATGGCACACCCGTTTAATCCCAGCACTTGAGAGGCAGAGGCAGGCAGCTCTCTGTGAGTTCGAGACAAGCCTGGTCTACAAGTTCTAGTTCCAGGGCAGGCTCCAAAGCCACAGAGAAACCGTGCCTCGAAAAATAAAAGAGAGAGAGGAAAAAAAAAAGGTTCACAAGAGTGTTGATCCCAGCAACAAAGTGTGGAGGTTTGGGACTTAACTGTCACAAGAAAGGACTGGTAGCAGTACGTGTAACTGAAATAAAGGCTAAGCTACACGCAACTACCTGCAAACTTTGAAACCCTGCTGAACTAAAAACAAATCATCCCTATTTCACACTTAAAAAAAAATAAGCGTATGGCACATGGACTGCATCCTTTTAAAAGGCAAGAGAATAAATTCGGAGTAAGGGCCAGCGTTAAACCTGGAGAAAGGTAGTGGGTTTGGAATCAGCAGACACCAGTACATTGTATCACTGCTGACAATGTCCTATTTCTAAAACCCGTGGATAGAGCTCCCTGGTGCAAAGGAGCTATCTGACACTTATCACCTATCTTACACACATCACTTACTAACAAGGCTAATTTTTTTAAAACAGCATCCCAAAGAAGGCACCTTTATTGATGTGACTCTCCTATCCCAAACAATAAGCAGCCTGGCTACACGAGGAAAACTATCTAAATCCGGGGCGCCAACGGTGGGACCCTGAGTTCTTCAAAGCCCGGCGTGTGGGCGGGTCCTACAGAAGATTGACAGGTCCCAGGTCGGCCTGGACGAGGAAGTGACATCCCGGGAAAACCCGGGCTTCAGTCTCACACACTCCATGCAAAAAATAATAAGAAGAAGAAGGAAACAAAAACCTCGAAACCAAGTTCTCTCCTCCCAAAGGCTCGCACCGCCCACCTTATCGCTCGCCCCAGGCAACCCTAGGCATCGCCGGAGCCCACGTCTCCCAGCACCGCCGAGTCACTTCCGCCTCCGCCACCCTCGCCGTCCCGCCCACCCACCTCCCGGAAGCAGAAAAAGAAACGGAAGCGCGTCGCCGTGGGGTCCTTCGGCCTGCCGGGGGGAGGAGGAGGGGGGGGAAAGGCTCTGATGGCGGCCGGGCCGGGCTGTCCCAGCGGCGCCTGCTCGGGAACGCGGTGAGGCCGCACCGGGGTCCGAGCGCTCGGGCTCTCGGGCGCCGGGCCGGGCTCGCGAGTCCGGGAGGCCTTCGCCGGTCCGTCCCTCCTCCGCCACCGCCCCTCCTCCAACACCCAGGCCCCCACAGCGGAGGGCGGGTCCGGCGGGCGCGCGGACAGCCCCGGCGCGAGGACCCCCCCTTCTCCCCCCCCTTCCCCCCCGCCCCCTTGCGCGGCTCCGGTCGGGGACGTCGCTGCGGGCGGCGGTGCTGCTGCTGGCGTCCCGAGATGTCGACCAAGAATTTCCGCGTCAGCGACGGCGACTGGATCTGCCCGGACAAGAAGTGAGAGCGCGGCGCGGGGAGGACGGGGAGCGGCGGCGCGGGGCCCTCGGGAGGGCTCCGGGGCTGCGGCCTTTGTGGCGGGCGGGCGGGCGGGGACGGCGGGGCGGACGCCGGCGGCCTTGAGCGGTCGCGGGCGGCTCGCACGTGACCCCCACCACCACCGGCGCGGGGCTCGGCTCGCCCGGCTCTGCTCCGAGGCGCTAACGCGGGTCCGCCGCCGTGCTTCCGGGGCCTGCTGACCTTTTTCCTCCCTCCCCAGTGACTTGGGGCTTTTCCTCCTTTCCCGGAGGCTGTGAGCCTCCCTCCCTCTCTCTCCGCCCCCCCTCCCCCGGGCGCGGACGTGGCTTCAGCCGGTGGGCATCCTACTGGGTACCCGGGTGTCCGTGTTTCAAACAAACAAGCAAATAAGTCAATCAATAAGTAAACAAGAAGAAGAATGAAGCCAGCGATATGCACCGGCTCGTGCTCTCATCCGAGAGCCAGAGCCCGAACTGCTGGAGGAGGAAGCCCGGGTTGGCTGGCACTGCCAGTCCCTCCCGCCTGCTGCCTGCCGAGCGAGCGAGTGTCCGATTTCGGAAGCACCTCTGCTGGAAAAAAAAAAAAAAAGACGTTGCTCGAATGCAGTGAGCATTTCGGCAGCATCTTTGCTAGGAAAAGGTATCGCTCGCTGGCCGTGAGCAAGGAAAAAAAAGACATTGCCCTCATGCAGTGAGCATTTCGGAAGCACCTCTGCTAGGAAAAGGCATTGCTCTCTGGCCCTGGGCATTTCTAAAATACCCTGGGTGGTGGTGGTGTCGTGTGCTGATAGCAAGGAAATGATGTCGGTCGCACTCACCTGGTGGGTAACCATCTGGCCGCAGCTGGCTGGCTAAGCAGAGCTGAACCGAGAGAGGTCCTCCTGGACTGTCACGATTGGGACCTGGGTGAAACTCCCAACACGATCTGAGCTGGAAACCCACCCTGGATATTTCGGGAGGACGCTTCCGTCCGAAGGCCTGTGCGCCTCAACTCATTGGCAGAAAGAAAAAAAAAACGTTAGTTCTGCAAACATAAACGTTGGCGACATTGTTACAGAACGTATTTTCAGTGTTATTTGGGTCTTGTGCATTTTGTAACAGAGAAAGGCAACCTAAAAGTTGTATTCTGTTGACTTGTTTATCTCATTCACTTTTGAAAATCGGGTGATGGCTAGTTTTTCTTTTTTAATTTAAACACTAAATGCTGTTTGGAGCATCTTACAGGCTTTAACAGGTAAACACCAAGGTCATTTACGGTTTGACTTTATTGGTTGTGGTGTGGTTTCTTGTTTTTGCTGTGTTTTTATGTTTGATAAACATAATAGTCAAACTTCTTTTTACTATATGTATTTTGGGGGGGGGTTCGAGACAGGGTTTCTCCGTATTGCTTCAGACCAGGCTGGCCTTGAACTCACAGAGATCTGCCTGCCTCTGCCTCCCGAGTTATTGGGATTAAAGGCATGCGCCAATACTGCCTGGCTTACTATTTATATTTTTAGTTAATATGGCCGATCTTTTTTCTTATCATCACACATCCTACCTCTAAAAAGACATTTCATCCGTTCTCTGGAGCCCTACTCCAGGTGGACCCATCCCTAGGATTTTGGTCTTTTTCTGAAACTCCTCAGAGCTTTCACCGAGTTAATTTGGTGTTCTTTTTTAATGTCTGCCTCTTTGGAACAAGGGAATTTAATGTAACTGATGACACATGCTAGTCTGAAGATAGAAAGGTGTGAACCCTGAAATGGCTACCACAGTTGTGAATATGAGATTGAGATTTTTACTGTGATGTCTCTCTCGGATGGTCCTGATATTAATGAGATGGGGTCAGCTTGTTGATATTAATGTGATGGGGCCAGCTTGTCCCGTGTTCCAGGGCGTAGTGAGAACGGTTTAAAGGCTTCTCTTTATTTTCAGGTGTGGGAATGTGAACTTTGCTAGGAGAACGAGCTGTAATAGATGCGGTCGAGGTGAGTGCTTATGGACAATTCTCTCTACTTGTGTATGTGTAGGCCGTTTCTTCCCAGGACTTATGCTGTGTTGTGTGTCTGTTTTCAGAGAAAACAACCGAAGCCAAGATGATGAAAGCTGGGGGCACAGAAATAGGAAAGACGCTGGCGGAGAAGAGCCGGGGCTTATTCAGTGCGAATGACTGGCAGTGCAAAACGTAGGTGCTTCGGATTGCTGACTGTCGATGCCGTAAACACACTCCAGTCTCCACGCATTAATGAGGGAACTCTTACTAATTAGCCAAAAGCTTATTGGTCGTGGTCTGAGTATAGTGGAAAGGGAATTGTAAGTTGCATTTTAGGGGTATGACCAACTGTTGCTGTGGTAGATTGTTCCTGAGCTGATAACCAAAGGGATGAGGAACACTGAAGGTAGCATGTGGTCTGCTTCCTGTTACTAAGTAATCGTGCTTTTTTTGTTGCTGTTTTTTGCCTCTTTTATAATATGAAAGTAACTTGAGAAGCATACATTGCCTCCCATGAAAAAAATGCTTCTTGTTTAGATTTCATTTTGTGTTGATTTTCCCAGTCTCCACGTTTTATAGTATATAGATAAATATATACTGTACTGTGTGAAAGAGTACCAGGTAAGAAAAGCATTTTAGCTAAAGCTCTGGTCTTGTAGATAGACCTTGAATCTGTACTGGGAAACTGTTTAGCAACAAACATGAGTCACAGGATTTAGTGCTGCGAAGGAGTCCTCAGAGGGGAGCGAGAGCAGAAGCTGTATTTAAAAGGTAAGACCATACTCTTTTGAGGTAGAGGTGATAAATAATGGAACCTTTAATTAAAGTAGTATTTCTCCCCTAAGTAGCAGAATCTCTAGTCATGTCACTTCTCAAAGTATTATTTATATTGAATAGATTCTGTTCTCCATCTACATAAATAGTTCAGGCTGTTCTGGGAATCTGTGTTCTCTAGAGCAGTGTCTTGTTTTGTTTTTTAATTTACATTTCTTCTTAATGAACACTGCTTTGTACTAATTTTCCAAAAAATTTCGAATGTTAATATTTTTTCAATGTTTGGGGGCCTTCTGATTTGATGTTTTGTTTGTTTGTTTGTTTGTTTTTTACAATTGTAGTTGCAGTAATGTGAATTGGGCCAGGAGATCGGAGTGTAACATGTGTAATACTCCCAAGTATGCTAAGTTAGAAGAAAGAACAGGTAAGATTGATGAATAACCAGGAATGGCCTTTTCACCTCTCCCCTTCTGCCTCATCCTCCTGTGTGCTGGTATCACCACACCTTACACTAAACAAAGATCTTTTATTTGACGGTATCGGGTATGGAGTAGTGTGAGACAGCCCTGTCCCTAGCATTTGTCTGCCTCCCTCCCCGCTCAGACCTGTGACAGTTGCTGATGGTACAGCGATAGCATGTGTCCTGGAGTGACAGCTAGATAAAGGATGCCTTGACAGGCATCCTGTAAAAATCTAAAAACCATTCTAAACGTAGCCACATTTTAAAATTATCAGAAAAACTTTAAAACTATAAATTACAAAGCTTAAAACTGTAAGTTGTTTTTGTTGTTGTTGGGGTTTTGTTTGCATTTTCTTTGTACTCTTCAATAATCTCACATGTGGCTCTATGTTTTGATCAGATTCATGGGCCAGACATTCCCTCGCCTCCAGTTCCTCTTGTAACCCTACTTTTCTTTCCTCGATCTCTTGTGCTCTCTTTCCTTTTAAAACGACTGACTACCATTAGTGCTGGCTGTGTGGGTATTGGGCCATACATCTAATGGATCATGGGTAGGACTCGTGGGCATGCAGCTTATACAATTGCAGGTAACATCCAAGTTGGGGTGGGATTTTAGGAGCCCCTCCCCAGTCCTTGCCAGAACTCGGAACTTTGGCAACTTGATATTGTGAAAGTGTTGTGTACACAGTCACTGTGAGTTCATGTTCCAACTGTGCGGTTAGGTCCACCAAGTAACTGTTTTACTCTAGTATACTCTACTCCCTTTAGAGTTTATAATCTTGCCATCCCCTGTTGATGATCACTGTGGGTGTGCCACTCAGAGGGGAACACTCCACATGTTTCCTGCACATTGACATCCTGTTGGCTTCTGTATTAATCTCCATCTACTATCGACATGTATCTCTTAACTGTGTTCATATAGCAGGATCATTGTGTCAGGCTTTTCCCAGAGCCTGTGACCTTCCAAACCATGAGACTTTTTTTTCTCTACTAATTGGTACCATGCTTGAGTCTTGTCTTCTGGAGAAAGCTTTAAATCTAATCAGAACATGGTTGGTTATCCCCATAACATTGTGTTGCTGTTGCACCAATGAACATATCTGGAAAGACCTCTTGTTATGACTAGTAGGGTTTGCAGCTGAGTAAAGACTGTTGATTAGTTTTCTTCCTTTGATAATGTGCATAGAACCTTGTAGCACTATGAAATTAAATTAGCCAGTAAGGATAAAACTTTCAGGTTAGTACCAGCTTGATAGCTCCATGTCATGTGACTCAAGTATGTGGTGCCTTTTGTGAGAACATTTGGTTCTCTCAAATGTAAACTCTTGTGTCAGCTATTGGGCTTCTTTGGGTCCCAAAGCCTAGTGATTGTATGGATGGTGTTTGGTAATTGTTGACTACTATATGTTGCTGGTGAGCAACCAATCATTATCTCCTTGAAATGTGATTGTGTCACAGACAGTGCATGAGACACTCTTAAGTTGATAAAAAGTGTTTCCCTTTTCACGCTAATTGAACACCACTGTCCCTGTTTGGTTTCTGGAGATCAGAGGCCTAGTGGTAGAGCAATCTTTTGGATCAAGTCTTTCCATCTCTTCTTCCCTATTTTGTTTGTTTGTTTGTTTTTAATTCTATGTGTAAGACCCTTATTCTGTAACATTCTAGTTAGTTTGTGTTTTTGTTCCTGGAATTCTACCTCTTAACTCCCAGAGGCAGCTCTGCCTTCTGCACTCGCCACCGTATTTGTCTCCTTCCTCAGTGCTGTGGCTCTCCCTGTGCTCTGTATTCTACCTTCCCACTGGTATTTGGATTCTCAAGATATCTTCCTTGGGCCCTCTCTCTTTCCTTTGTTTTCTGCATATTCTAAAGCCAAAGTCTTGAATTGCAATAGATGCACTGAAATACCCAAACTGTGTCTCCAGCTCTGGTGTTTTTGACCTACCTATAAAGCTACTTAATTTTACATTATTGAATAATTGTCACATTCATTGTACCCCAACTGAATTTGTGATTCCCCATATGACCTGGCCTCTTGAAGAGTTTTGTGTCTTGTGATTAATGCTGCCCACATTAGGGTGTGCCCCTCAGTTCCATGCTTCTTGGACCCTTGTTCATTTTAACCCTACCTTCAAGGTCTGTGCTTTCAGATAAATATAAGTTTAATCCTGTTTCCTATGAACCCAGTTCTAGAAGAATTATAAATGGAGAGGGATGTCCTTCTAAAACTTTGTCATAGCAGAAGAGAACATGTTGTGCTTATTTTTTCCATGAATGACCTGTCATGGGTAATTCTTAAATTGAAAAGATCAGTGAGTACTGCTGAAGCTTCACAACTAAAATAGATCTGACTTGTTCTCCATTGTGATTTTTAACTTGTCAGAGATTAGTTATTATTTGTTACATAAGTAACCACCATTGGTTAGATTTTCATTTTCTGTCGGTTGGGAATAGTGTGAGCATAATTTGTTATTTAAGTTGTTACAGTGATTTATGTCTTCTTTCTAAAGGATATGGAGGTGGTTTTAATGAAAGAGAAAATGTTGAATATATAGAAAGAGAAGAATCTGATGGAGAGTATGATGAGGTAAGCTCTCAATGGCTGTGTATAAACTATGTTTTAAGTTAGAGAAATGACAACCTGGAATTCAGAAGAGCTTTTGTGTGTGCGTGCACGCGTGTAAGTGTGCCTTAGTAAAGGTATATGTGCCCTTACGTGTGCATCTGTAAAAACTGTAGATTGATACTGGGTGTCTTCCTCTGTGATCTTTACTAGATTGACTGAACAGCAAGGGATCCTCCACCTACAAGTACAGGGATTACAAGCTCAAATTTCAACATCTGCCTTTCCACACGGCACAAATAGTTTTAGAAAGTAAAATGATTATCATGTTTTTCAGTTTAAAGAGATCTTTTTTTTTTTCCCTAGTTTGGACGTAAAAAGAAGAAATACAGGGGGAAGGCAGTTGGTCCTGCATCTATATTGAAGGAAGTTGAAGACAAAGAATCAGAGGGAGAAGAAGAGGATGAGGATGAAGATCTGTCTAAATATAAACTGGATGAGGTAATGTCCCTTGACTCTGTCCTCACTCCACTTACTCATACTGGAACTGTCTGGAGCACAACAAGCTTTTGACACCTGAACCATTATAGACACTGTCTCACGATGGGGGTGGGGCAGGGGATGAGGGGGACAGCTTTTACTCATTGTGAGCCACCATATTCCTGGGATGTAAGTGTTTTAAGAAACAAATGGTAGCCAGGCATTGGTGGTGCACACCTTTAATCCCAGCACTCAGGAGGCAGAGTCAGGCAGATCTCTGAGTTCCAGACCAGCCTGGTCTACAGAGCCAGTTCCAGGACAGCCTCCAAAGCAGTACCGAAAAACCCTGTCTCAAAAAACCAAAAAAAAAAGAAAAAGAAAAAGTAAAGAAACAAACAAATGGTATGTATTTATTATCTGTTAATCTTCTAAGCCAAGCTCGTGTAAAAGCTGTTGCCCGTTTTTCAGTGCGGTGAGTGCTAGCACGTTGAAGTGTTAGGGGCACAGAACGAGGCAAGTGGTTATTGTAACAGAGAACAGAAAATAGTGTTCCAAACTAAGGCTGCAGGTGGTGGACCAAGGACTCCAGACAAAATTAAAAATTGCTGACAGTTTGGTATATGTTCTGAGAGCCAGTGGGGTAGCTTCTAGGACCTTGTCTGAGCTGTCTGCCTGGTTCTCAAGTCTTTTCTATCAAAGGAGTTTAGTAGGTGAACCCCAGAATTGAAAATAAGTTTGCATTGAAATTTAGTCACAGACCCATCTGATAATATCCAGTATAATGAATATTCATCTTTTTGTGGGTATCACTAATATGTAAATGTCTAAATAGTATTAAAATTTTATTAGGACGAGGATGAAGATGATGCTGATCTCTCAAAATATAATCTTGATGCCAGTGAAGAAGAAGATAGTAATAAAAAGAAAGCCAGTAGACGGAGTCGCTCAAAGTCTCGGTCATCTCACTCGAGGTCTTCATCACGCTCATCCTCCTTGTCAAGTTCAAGGTCCAGGTCCAGGTAAACGGGTGCAGGCCAAGGGTAACACCAGCCAAAACGTCAGTATCTAACTTTTTACTATACACTTCATTTTACTGTCTAAGTAAGCCTTCTCCTGTATGTGAGTCAAGTCACCTTAGCTAGACTATATCTTTGCACCCTATAGATACTGTCCTGTATTTTCAGGTATTTCAGATCTTAGAAGTTGCTTGTTCTGTGTCACTCCTTGGCTTTGACTAGAGTAACTTAAGTTCAAAAGCACTGTGTAAGGGATACGTATTTAAGTAGATAGCATATGTTCATTCAGACATTGTCAAGTAGATATTCATTTCCATATGTTAGAGGCTTAACTGGAGACTATCTGGGCACTAATGACACTTGCACAATTTTTGATAATTTATTTTGGTATTGTTCTTCTGAATAAAAGAACAAATCCAGCCATTGAATACTTAAGCTTCTCAAGTGTCCAAGAATTAAAGCAGGATGTGTGGTTGTGTTAAACACGTATTTAATAATAGAAAAGTAAATAGTGCTATTGTATGGTTCAGAGTTATCATTTAAGAATGAAATGTGTTGCCTAACAGTGCTAATTTTTAGCGTAATTTTGAGGACTGGAGAATATTCCTCAATGGTAGAGCCTTGTCTAGCATGTATGGGGCTCTGGGCTCAATTCCTAGTCCTTCCCTTTCCTCGAAAGCAAAACAAAAAATAAACAAAACCAGTAATTCTGAGATAAAAGTATGGCAGTCCCTCTTTGTGGGGACAAACAAAAGATGGTGTCAAAAATGTCATTTGTGGCTTTCAGAATGTATGTGTTGTATTTCCACACTCTTGTCAGTAATGCAGTTAATGTATGAGCATTGCTAGGGTTGTTGTATCTTTAATTCTCTAAGATGAACAAGTGAAGAGTAGACACCAGAGATCGGAAGCAACGACAGTTAGTGTTTCCTGCCTCCTGGTCACTGAAGATAGGGGTTTGCAAATCAAAGTGTTAGAGCACTGGAGAATTTAAATGAAAACTGTAACATCGTCTTGGTGGTGCTCACTCGCTTACTATCTGGGGGCCTGATGACAGTTTAATTGGATTTGTCACTGATTTTTTTTTTTTTTTAGCTTAATCTTTATTATAAGAAGTCTTGTTTTAAGAATTTTTGCTTGGAAAATGTGTACCTTGAATGTGTCTATTCAGACACCTTCTTATGTGAAAAATGCACTTTTAATGTATGTCTTTCTTTCAGTGTTCATATCACAGAGCTAAAAAAATGTGGTCCTAGGGAAAAAAAATGCTTCCCTGTTGTTCCAGGTCCCGTTCACGAAGCTCTTCCAGCTCGCAGTCCAGGTCTCACTCCGGTTCCAGAGAACATTCCAGATCCCGTGGTTCGAAATCAAGGTGAATGAGGTAGCCCCTCTGTAAAGCAGAGAGGAGAGTACTTAAAGGCTTCAGAAGGCTCCACAGCCTCCCTCACGACTGCTTCTCCTTGTCAGTTTTCCTTTAGCACAGGGAACTAATGCACTTACCTCAGCTTAATCTCACCACAAAATGTTTCCATTCACAGTGTGCCAAGAGATTTCCATGGCTAAGACGTGTATCGTAGGAAGGTGAGGCCAAGTTACTTCACCAGATAGCTAGTGTATTAAGATTATGTTTGCAGTCATTAATTCAATTTGACACACAAATGGAGCATTATTGCTAAAAGGAAGACCAGTCCAATATGCAGCTTCAAAATAGATTTTCTCTTTACAGAAACAGTTTTGCCAGTTTTATCTCAGTTTCTAGTGAGTGAGTGCTGTGTCTATTACCTATTCTCCCCGGTTTTAAAGAATATTATGAATTATTTGTGTAATGAGCGTCCCTCTTTGAACTTAGTCAAGTAGGATGTTAGCTTAGTTAATGTGATATAAGCCATGCTGTGAACATTTCAGTTATGTTTAGTCAAATATCAAAGGAAAATGATTGGTAAAGAAGCAATTGAAACGCTAGTTTTTTGCTTTCTTGGAAAAATTTTCTGTACTTCATCAAAATATGCTGCCTTTATGTTAAGTCACTGTATTGTTGTCCACTGCAGGCACGCAGCATTAATACGAAAGCCTCTAAAATCCCACTTGTGGGAATTGACATTGAAGTTTCCTAACAGCTCTTCTGGAGAAAGGTTCACTTTCTTGAGCCCATTCTAGCGTTTGAGGGCAACTACCGTTGAGTCCCACTGAGGAGAAGAGTGATGCGTGCACTCACTGAGCCAGTGCACAGTAGAGCAAAGGTGCTTTCTTATGTGTGTTAACATGTTGGTGCTACCTCAACCGTTGAGTCTTGGTGTGGTCCCTTTGGGAACTGTAGGACCGAGGTTTACAGAAAAGCTTTCATATCCTTCCCAAACATTGTATTTGCTTACAACTTTCCAAAGAATTCTCCTTTTGGGCTTTCTCATTTTATTTTAAGCCCAAAGGTGAATTTTTTGGGAAGTTTGAGCTAAATTCCTTCAACCAAAATGGGTAAATGAAGATAAATTTGCATTGAAAAATTTTTACATTTACTTCTACCTAAAACTTGTGAATGTCACCAGTTCATACTTCATAGCACAGACATAAGCACAAGTCAAGTTTTAAAGCTACCATTTTCTTCGACTACTTAGCCTCATAGTGCTCTGTCTTTCTGGGCTGTGTCCCTCAGTTCTCTGTTACACCTTACCTGTGAGAAGTTAAGGTCCTTGTTCTCAGCAGGTTTTATGTAACATGGGTTTACCCCAAATGGAAGGATCCGATTTCTGACCATAAAGTCACAGAATTGAAGCTACTCTTGATTTCACTAAGTATATATTTTAAATTACAAAGCTATAGCAATTATAAAAATATTCTGTCTTAATTCAGTAAGCTGCTTTTTAATTACCAAGGGGTAAATATTTAGAACTTTTTAAAGATGGTTGTGCATAAATAGAACATGTTGAAGGTTGACCCAGAAGTCTTCTGCTGAGTAAGCAGTAAGTATTCCCTCTTACAAACCCTCGTAGTCACAGTCCTGTTTGCTTTTGGGAACTGGACAGTCTCCACTTCTGCCCGTAATGACTCGTCTACTTTGTCTCTCAATCAATGAAGATCCAGCTCCAGGTCCCACAGGGGCTCTTCCTCCCCAAGAAAAAGATCTTACTCGAGTTCTTCATCATCTCCTGAAAGAGACAGGAAGAGGAGTCGATCTAGACCTTCTTCACCTGCTGTTCGCAAAAAAAGACGAACGAGATCACGGTCACCCGAAAGGTTTGGGTTTCTGTAGCATAAGAATGGGTGTTCTTACGTGGATTTATTAGATGGTCTTTCTAGGCAAGGGTTAGATTTCTTTCTGCTTTGTTCTTTATATTTTTGATCTTTAAACTTCAGAAATCAGATTACTTTGTTTAGCTTGTTAATAACTTTAGAAAAAAATTTGTTTGAATTTTTATTTCCATGTACATTATTATAGCCAACTCTCGGTTGTTTTTTGTGTTCTTAATAATTGAAACCCAAAAGCTGTATGTTGAAAAATAATTTACTTGTGTTTGTTTTTTAAAATTAAATACTTGAAATGGTAGTGTTTCCAGGGTACCTAACCAAGATTAACTTGCAAGATCATTGGGAATCTGTCCTTATAGAAATACGTGCAAGTGCATTTCCATAGCAGTGACTTTTATGCCCTTTACATGGAAATTACTCCTTGTAGTTAGTACTTTTTCATCTTGTAGTCTGGATCCATTTTTCTCTTCAAAGAGGACCTTCACTGGGTCCCTGTATCTAGAGTGCACTAGTTAAGTGCATAGTCAGCCTATTCTGCAACAGACTTGATTACTCGGTTTCACTAATTTTCTCTTGGTTCTGAATGTCTTAATTACGATTTGTAGCAAATTTTCCATATCCTCTCAGCTTGTGAAAGAAAAGGATCTTTAGAGTCTGCTGACATCTGGGTTCAGTGGGTAGGACTGTGTTACTCCTGGTCTTGCAGAATTACATGTCCTTGACACTTGAAGCTCAAAATTATCCCCAGTCTTCTTTGTGTCATTGTTTCTTTATAAGACAGTTGCTCTGTACTTGAGTGAAACTCATTCTGTTCCTTCTTCCTACTTCTGCACATTTTTACCTTAGCCACATATCACCCCCAGCTTGTTGTCATCCAAACTTAATGCACATGTTCTCTATTCCATAAGCCAGGTGATTGGTGAAAACATTAAACAACCCTGAGCCCAGGGCCAACCCCTACGGAACACCACCAGTTTGCCCAGGTTGATACTGACTTACTCATATTGGCTGCATGAATCTAGCACTTTAACTCTACAGTCACCTTATGTGACTTAGACCTTCAAAACTTCATTGCTGTGAATGTATGTTTTCATACACTCAGAAACCTTGCTGTGCTACATAGAAACCTGGTGTACTCTCTGTGGTACAGCTGACATTGCCACACGCTTTACCAGGGTTATATGCCTTCCTTGTACATGTATATGATTACCAGCTTTTTTTTTCAAGGCTTTCCCTTCATTACCTTGAATAATTGAGAGGTGGCTATATTTGAAATGAGATTTTATTCTTAACTTGTAGAGTTTTGAGTTAAAAGTCACCAATTCTGGGCTCACATCCAAACGTGTATATAAGCCATCTTAGGTTTAATTATTCCTGCCAGCACCAAGGTACCTAGTGTTTGCTCTGCTCTTCTCTGGTGTTTGCAGTCTTAGGAACAGACACTCAGTCGGTACTATTTACAGATTGTGCTGCTCTCTTGTGTCTTACAGGCACCACAGGTCGTCTTCCGGATCAACCCATTCTGGTTCCCGTTCAAGTTCAAAAAAGAAATAATGTATTAAAATTTACATCTTTAAAAAAACATTAAATACAGTGCATGAAGCATATTTTTTAGGAAATTGATGTCTCATTTGGTCAGAAGTGCTACATCTGCTAGTAGAGGTGCATGCCTTTATTGCTTTTCCAAACAGTACAACTGTGTTTATTTGTGAAATTGAAAGTAAATTGCATTTTAAGCCATACTGTTCCCCAGATAGATGCTGTGTTCATTATTTACAATCATTTGCTTTGTTTAAAAACAGCTATAGCAAAGTACTTTGTTACCTTGTCCTTTTCATTTCTAAATGTCCTATTGACAGAGACAGGGTTACCTGGGCTTGCCTGGACTTCAGACACATGGAAATGCCAGTTCATGTTCATATGGGAGAAGTAGTAACCTGGTAATGTTGTTTACCTGTGCCAGTGATTTCTTACCAGACGTTAACTACAGTTCACAAAGCTGACAACTGGGAACTTTGAGTTCTCTGTTCTGAGGGTGCCTTAGAGTCATTATCTGTCTTATCAGCTTTACACCACTTTTGATGCAAGAGGATATTAACAATTGCAGAAGGAGCAGGTTATCCATCTTATTTCAATATGTCTATCTAAGTTTAAGAAATATGAATATCCTTTAAGTCCAGTTACCAAATATTGTACTTGATTGATAAAGGTTTTAAAAAAGACTAAATCATAGTTTATGAGCAAATTGAAGAAAGCTTTGGAAGCCAATTTCTCAGTGACAGGCTGACAGCGACATGGATTTAAGTGAACACTGGCCTTGAGATGTCTGATTTTTCAGCACTGTAGGTGCCTAAGTAGCAGAACAATTCTTATTTCTGCATGGTTTCAGCAGAGTCGTTTCTTTCCTCACCTAAAGAAAAAAGAAAAAAACATATGGCTTAAAATGCTTTCAGAGTTTTATTTCTAAAATTAAATTCTGGTCACTTGACATCCATTTTGTTCTCTGGTTTAAAGTTAAAAGGTTTCTCTTTAACAGTCTCTTCAGCAGCAAAGCAAGGTAAGTATACAAGGAACCTGCAGCTGTGCTGGGGCTTCTTGTTACAAGAATTGTTTTTCCTGTTTCTCCCCTCCTTTAGTATTTGCCGAGGTTTCAATAAGCAAAGCATTCTACGATGTTTAGTAGACAGATCAAACAAAATGTTTTTATTTTAAAGTGTTTTTCACCTCAACTGGTCTAAAGACGAAAACAAAATATCGTATGTAGAAGTATTTTCATAATATTTTTACAAGCTTCCTTGTGTTTTTTGTCTTTGTTTTCCTTACTGCGTTTACTGTAGGTCGCACACGAACTCTTACTCTCTTGTAATTGTGCCTCAGACTTCTCAAAAGTCGACTTTCTGAGTTGCCCAGATCTTCTAGATCCGACGTGTTAGCCTTGGTTTGTTCTTGTGCTTTCTGTATTTAAAACTTGGGCTGTACTAGGCAAATACAAGATTATAAATTTAGCTAATAGAGTTTACAAAACAGTTCAGATGATTATGATTTGATTTGGTTTAATTGAGCTGTACTAGTTCATTTCATAAGGAAATGATACTGTAGACAAATGTAAATAAAATCTGTGAGTCAAGCATCAAGTGTTGGTCATTAGAAATAAACTAGAAAATTTTAAGCTCTGATTGAATGTTCACTTCTAAGCTCATAATAGTTTTTGTTAAGTGTTTATGCTTCTGACTGTTCACTTTATCGTGCTTTCAAACATAACAAACATGGTGACAACAACTCAGGGTACTCACAATTTTCATTTGTATATGTCTAATACCAGGATATTACATGCCTCACTCGCCGTGGTCAGTTAGAATATCAGTGTGCTCCTAAAATTACTCAGGAGCTGATACATGATTGCCATTCATCAGTGTCTTTAAGTTTTTCGTGTTTCCACTGGAATTCAGAACAAGCTGTGAGTACAAGGCCATCTAGGCACAGTTGGAGAGATGATTGGGTACTTGTTGACAATCTGTTTCTCCTTGCATGGTACTCAGAGCCACTATTGCAGATTCTGATAGAAGCTAAGGAGGGTTCTGCAGCCTGATGTTTTTTATTTATTATTTTTTTGGTAGCATTAATTCTAATTATTCTTAACAATAAAAATTCAAGAATCAGATATTGGGGTTAAAGCTGAAGATCAGAGAAGCAACGCAGCCAGCCGCTGGAGAGTTTGCTCAGACCAAAAGGGCGACCCACTCCTCAGATTGCATCCCCAGACTCCTTAGACTATATTGTTCCTCAGACTGCCCTGCTCTCCACCAAACCTCAGACTGCACTGAACTCCTGTCTCCTCCTGCCTTATATTCCTCTCTAGTACAGGGATTAAAGGCATCTCAAGTGCTGAGATCACCTTTGTGTGAGCTGTTTCTCTTTTCCTCTTTGTGTAGCTGAGGGTGGCTTTAAATTAACAGATCCATTTGCCTCTTTCCTAAGTGCTGGGATTAAAGATGTATACCACTTCCTGGCCTCTATGGCTAACTAGTGTGGCTAGCTTTGCACTTTGATCTTCAGGCAAGCTTTATTGGATCATAAGATATCACCACAAAAGCAATTTAGGGCCAGGACCTGAAGACAGTACTGCTTGCTAGTCCATGCAGCATTACCCTTGTCCAAGGAACTCCCAGCCAAGAAAAGTAGCAGGAATCATGAAGGGTACAGCTGTGCTGAGCAAGATTTCTTACACAGCCCAGGCCTTCCTGCTTAGAGATAGTGCCATCCCCAGTGGTCTGGGCCTCCTCGTATCAGTCACCAATTACAATAGTCTCAGACATGACCAAAGCCAATGCAGATCTGGGCAATTCTTCAGTTGAGGCAATCTCTCACCAGGTTATATCAATTTGAGAAGACATTACCCCCAATTACCATAAAATTCTGGCTTTGTTTTTAAAGACAGTTACGTGAGCAAAAACTATGTGTGTAAAAACTGGCACCGTGGTGCTCCTGCCTCAGCTCCACAAGTGCTAGGGTTTCTGGTATGGTTTTATTTCAAGTTTAATTTGATCTTTCTCAATTTTTGTTTTCATTTGTTCCTGAATCCAGTCTGGATATGCTAATTATACAACAATTATACTACCATCTTAATCTTCTCTGTCGTTAATTGTCTTTGATTATAGTCTTGAAGGATTCTGCCCATGTCATACTTAGGTTTCTGTTGCTGTGAAAAAACATCACGGTCATGGTGGGAGGAAGCATGGCAGTGTCAGGCTGACATGGAGCTAGAGAAAAAGCCAAGAGTTCTACATCTATCAGCAGGAAGAGCGACACTGGACCTAGCTAGAGCACCCGAAACCTGAAAGCCCACTCCTGATGACAATTCCTCCAGCAGGGCCATGGCTCTAATAGTGCTACTCCCTATAAGTCTGTGGGGCACATTTTCGTTCAAACTACCGCATACACCTATATCCTACCCCACTGCACTGGGTTAGGTAGGCATGGTTTTCTCCCTGTGAACTGGGACTGTAGGTTTCAGAGAACAGCACAGGGGAGGAGCTCCCTTCTGATCAATGAAGCTTACATTCCCTGGCACTGTGAACCTCAGTATTTAGGGCATTCTGATCCTTTCCCCTAACATTCTTAAGTAATATTAAATGTACTTCACCAGTAAAGGAATGGGAAATGCAAGGTCTACCTCTTGTTGGAAGTGTTATCCAGGATGTGGAATCTCCCTAAGAAAGACTTGTTTTCCCATTTGCTCATGTTTGCAGGTTCCTATACTTATCACTTATTTTACTCCTTAGATGGTTTTATATTTGGTCATCGAGAACCTCCCTTTTCCAATGGAAAAGGAAGTAGATGGAAGAATTATCAAATCTTGTGATTGGAACCTATAGCAGTACAGATAATAAAGAGATCGCTTCAAAGAAGCTTTGGCAGGTGTGTGTAGCATCAGGAGTTTGGATCCTGCTGCCTGCAAATACACCGATAGTTTTATGTCAGGTTAGCAGAATGGAAGGTACCAGAGTAAGTGCTCCCAAACTGGTAGCCAAATGGTAATAAAGCTCAATGCCACTAGCTCTATGCATGCACCGGAGCAGTCTTCAAGATAGCAGCCGACTTCCCAGATGCAAGGCAAGTCATCTGCAACATAAAATACAGAAGTGTAGATGTGGTACTAACGTATTATTAAAGACTTAAAAGAATTCACCACTAGGTTTCCAACCAAACCCTGTGAAATATACTTTGGTAATTGAGTTTTGATGGCGTAGGACATCTGTATGAATGTACTTGGTGGGGCTTGTGTCTGGGAACGTGCCATTGAGGGAGACGGTGAAGTGTAATGTGCTCAATGCAAGATAGTTGTATGATGCAGTAATCCACCTCATCTTGAAGGTAAGCTGATTTACACACTGAGCCCCCAAAGTGGCCTCTAAATGGAACTAGGAATGAGCCTGTGGAAGAGAAAGAGGTAATCCTGCGTAACTCTGAAAAGAAGCATACAGAGAAATATTTCCAGTAAAGCCAAACTATCACTAGTGACGATTCAGACAGCCAGGTTAATGAAAAGGTATGCCTGTCTGCCTGCAGTGAATGGAAACAGGTTCCAAGAAAGAGAGAAGAGAAAAAAATCTGAAGAAATGAGCTTCTCCACACTTGAAAGGTGTGGATTATAAAGATTAATGGATTGAAAGGCATTTCATTAATACCACCTATTTATCTTAAGAATATAAAGTGAAACTAGCTGCAAAAGTGAAATACAGGTTTCTTATAATTGATGTGATTAAGTAGAAAATAACAAGACATGGAAACTAGTACCAACTTAATATGGCCTAAGTTACCAAAGAACACGGCAAAAGGGTCTACACACTTTCGAATACATATTTAGGTATACAGATTTTCTGTTTTTGTAATAAAATACCCTCACAATAGCTTTAGAGGGTGGGTTAATTTGGCTCACAGAGTTCAATCCGCAGCCAATCAAGGCAGCAGGATCTCAAAGCAATTGGTAGCACTCAGAATCAACAAAAAGCCACAGGGCATGCTGCTACAAAATTCCTGCCTTAGCAGATTGTCTCACCCATAATTAGGGTGAGTCCTTCCTCCTTCCTATCAGTTAATATGATCAGGTTAATCCCCAACAGATATAACCAGAAGGACCCTTCACACAGGTCTAGATTCTGCAGAACTAACAGGAAGTGCAGAGAAAACAACTTTGAAAACTAACAGAAACAACAGATGTCTGGCTGCCTGGACAGTCACCCAAGTTTTCTCTGCAATGTTGGTCGTTCATCTTCAGCCTAGAGGCCTCGAATATCTGACTCCTCTGTGAGGCAGGAGTTTTGAAGGACTGCCCTATACCTTGTCTTGGCAAAGTTCAGGAATGACTGTTTTGCCTTACTTGTCCAATTTGAACAGAACAATGTCAGCAGTCAAGATAAGGGCACTTTCTTGTCCTAGGGGTAACTGCCACAATGAAAGCAAAGTCCATATGGGGGTTCTTCAATGCTTACCATCCTTTTTTTGAAGTGAATTGGTGCTGTCACAAGCAGACATGTCTTTATGTCATGAAAAGCCTTCTGTCATTAAAATATCTTAAATGCCATATTCTACAGATCTCCGGTGTTTGAAGAGTACCTATCTAAAACATCCTGTTTAACCTTGAAAACATACCTAACATGACTACAAGTTGTTGCAGATGACTACTAACCTGCATTTCTTGATTATACATTATATTTTTTAATGATCTGCATAGGTACATTGCCTTAAAAGTGGAAACATACAGTATTTTAAAAAATAATTTTAAATTTGTATCAATACACAAAACTCCATACCAATGTAAAATATTTTAGATTAATGGTTGCTTTTTAGTTTAAAAATACATTCAATAATTTACCCTTTTATTCTATCATTCCTGTAAATCCCTTCTCCTTTTCAGAAAGATCCTTTTATCCAGACTCCCTTATTTAGTTTCCTCTCTTACCATGACCAGAAACAATTTGCAGCCAACTCCTCTAAATGATGGTACCTATTCATAACCCATTGAACAATAAAAAACTACCTACACTGCCTATTGGGAGTGTGGGCATCGTGTTCTTCAAATTAGTTCCTGTTGTCTGGGTGGGATGGCATCTTTAGGGGACCCTGAGGAAATGATCAAGTTCTAGGAGAGCTAGCTGCATCATTTGCTGTCCAGTGTCTGTGAGGTTGGAAATTGTAGCTTCTGATGTCCTAGCTAGAGTAGTCTGTGGGGCTGAACCATCTTTGCCACAAGTTTTGAAGTTCTGGATGCAGATGTTTGAGGAAACTGCAGCAGGCATTCTGAGAGGCTGGATTGCCTGGGCTACTTGTCTTCATTGGTATCTGGTTCTTTTTTTTTTTTTTTCCTGAGAACATGGGAACTTTTCAAAGTAACATGCCTGTATTTATACAAGAAAAATGTGCAGTATGCTCTGTGTTTGAACAGGTAAAGGGCATCTGTCAACTTTATAAGGCCATTTGAACTGCAAAATCTAATTAATATAAATCTCTATCCATGCCATATGAAAAGATAACATGTAATAAAGTCATGAAAACTATGTAGCCAATAAGATTTATCATGTCTCATTCAGTCTTTGAGCTCTTCCCATGTCAAAGGATCAGCATGTATGTCACCTGTCTTGTTTCTCTTTGTTTCTTCATGTCTCTTAA